GATTGCCTTCATTTTTTTCAGTATCGCCCTGCAGAATCAAATGCATCGGGGTGACCATGGCATCCTTGACATCAAAAGCGAGAGAATCTAATCCGCTCATGAGCCTCTGCCAGCGTTGGGTGAGGCAAGCGAGGGCGACAGTAGTGGTGATGTTTGTGGTGGTCGAAAGGACGCGTGCTTAATAAGCGGCTGTCAACGGTCTCTGCCAGTTAGCGCCCACTCCTGATTGATTACCACGATGTCTTTCATTCCTGACTTGTTTCTAAAATACTGCACTCTTTCCTCAACTCTTCTGTCGACCCCGCAATATGAGGAAGCGCTTGTCACAAGTTCTTAGACCGTCCCTTTGGTACTGGCCTTGTGGTCTGTGGCTTTGGGCATCCTCCAGCGGGCAATAAGGCAGCTCCAGTCATTTCGACTACTTGCCTGCTATGTCGTCGAACAGACTACATATTTCCATATCGGCTCGAAAGAGTCTCTGAGATCAAGGCACGCATGTTGGCCAGGCTGGTGGCACGACACCTTTGTCAATTCTGGTCGACCCTATGGCAGCCCAGGCCATTCTGGAGTTCGAAGCACACCGGAGTCTCTACCAAGAGACCGCAGAACTCAACATCGACACTCATCAATAGACCCAGGCGGTTAGGAAGCGCATCGACGATTTCACTACGAATTTCAAGCAAGACAGAATGGCCTTATCCGTGATGGAGCGCGGGCAGGTGCATCTGGTGTGTAGAGATAGGGGCGCGTGTATCGTCTAGCGCTCTGGTAAGCAGTATCGACATACCATGGTATGCAAATGGAGTGTACTGATATCCAATTTTCAGGCACAAATCAAACAGTCAGTTCACTCCAGCGGTAGTACCGAGTCTTCCTTCTGGACTTCTCTCTCTCTCTCTCCATTCTCCGTTTCTCGCTCGCCTCGCTTTCGTTTTGAATATGCATCTTGCCATTCCCTCTCGTCTCCGGTCTCCCGCCCGCTCTTGGCTACCTTGTTCTTTGCTTTTCATCTACTTGCCATCAATGCTTTCCTAGAATCCTTGCTATCCAGACCGCTAAATCTGAATGATATTCAGTACTACAATATCGCGCCCGGCTCTAAGCCGCAGGTTACCTCTGCGCATACCGTTATTCAGTCTCGCCCAGGCTCTAAACGACGGATAGGCAAAACGATAACATCTGCAGCGCGCCAGCCAAAGTCCGAGCAGCCGATGTCGGTACCTCCCTCGGTGCTCACGGATGCCCGCCTTGCAGCAAGCAAGAGCAGCAGACTGCGACCCGCTTGTCCGACTCTTCGGGATGATCCTGGGTGTTGTAGTGCTTTGGGAATCTGTTACTTTCTCGTATCTACGCCCTAGACTGGTCGATTGTCAGTATCACAGGCCCAGAAGGCCAGCTACGATCCTCGCCCGGGAGAGGAGGCTCGGGATTATGCGTCTATCAACTCCTGACCGTCAACCGTTTCCTATCATACCAATTAGTTTATTCTCCATCAAACAGGGGTGCATGCCTGACCGTCACTGTACCGCTGGTTGTCGGATGGAATCTATGTCTATGTCTGGGTTCGGCCTTGCTCGCTATTGGTGATCTTGTGAGATCAGCTCATGTTAGATATGCAATCATTCGCTATACGGATGCTTATTCATCTCGAAGAACCTGTGTGCATCCCCGTCAGTTAGGCCTACTTCTTCAATCAGAACAGGACTCAGAATCAAATTCCAACGTACAGTCAACTTCACAGCATCGCTTCAATTAATTCATGCTCACTCTCAGTGGCGCCCGTCGGATCGAGCGGGTGCCATTGGACCGTAACGGCGTGGCTCTTAAGGCTGGCGTGCTTTCAAAGCTTTCAATTGGCCCTATGCGAGCACCTACTAATTAAGCACTGAATCCACACAGCGCCGAAATACGCCACCAAAACGTGCTTCTGATCCACTGAGCTGGATCATACCATTGTCAGCGAGCGTCTGTACCCCTCAGACACATAGGGTCCATCCTGCCGTCCGATATGTGTGCCTGGTCCTTGAGGCATGGGCGCGGATCATCTGATGTCTGAGTATTCAATTGAATGTGTACGTCCACGCCCTCGTCTATGAATAGATCCTCCTCTAATCCTGTCTCTAAATTAGTTCACAGTGGCATACGTAGTTGCTGGAACGTTCACAGCACCGGCACCATCACACCCGAGAGGCGCTGAATTGAATTCTAGAAGAAGCGAATAAGTATAAACGAAAGGCCAGCGTGTGGGCCATGACACGAGAGATATTCCATCCCAGCGCCCTGAGCCCTCCTAGTAATTCCGATAGTAATACTGTTCTTGTTGTGGCGGTTGTGAGTATTGTCCTTGCATATAGGTTTTATACCCATAATACACGCCCCAAATTGCGATAAGCATCCCAGGAATACCTAACCCGATCGAAGTTCCGAGGGTTATCTTGTCACTTTCAGAGAGCCCGCCGTTGGAAATGCTGGGAGCAGAGTTTGATCCAGTCGCCGTGGTTGTTGGTGCGGTAAACGGTGCAGTAGCCGTCACTGCACTGGCCGTGCTCAAGGACCAAAGAGAATCGCCACCCAAGTCATTACAGATGACCTGATTTTATCTTTAGTTCGGACAGGCAGCTATAGTATCAGGTGCAGACTAACAGGTATGTCATTGCTGCTGGTTCCACCAGAAATGGTCCACTCAAATTCAAAGCTCGAATCGGCGGAGAGACTTACCAGCTAACAATGAGCCTTCCTGGATTTCAGGCAATAGGATACAACACTCACGCATAGTAACCATCGGAATTCTCAGGCTGGTAAATGTACCAGGGATAGGGAGACTGGCTTGCAACCACGTATCCAGTGCTTCCCATATACGCGAAATTTTGATAGTAAACATTCTGAATTGTAACTGCATTATCTTCGGATGTGCTCTGAACAACCTGCCACTTTGAAGCGTGCTTGAGCTGTAGAAATGGAGGGATGGTAATAGATTTCTACTTACCTGCTGCTGACCATAACCGTCTGGAGCCGAAGCTGTTAATATACCACTAGTCTGGTTTCCTGTGAGGCATATATTCTGAGCCTGGTAGCAGAGAACATATGTACCAGAGGGGGGAGCGGAGGTCATAAGGGGTTCCGGTTCATTTCACGACGCTCATGGGGGGCCTTATCTACCCAACGATTGTGAGAAGACGCTGATGCCCGGGCCGCACTTCAATCGGGGGTTGCGCGGCAATGAGATTAGACATTGCAGAGCATTACAGCTGTTTGCATAACGGTCTGAACACGCGCTTCTTTCTAATCGGCGCATTCGGGGGCTTTCCCATGTGATTGATTGTGACACTTTTGCTTATCCCTCGTGAGTCGTAATTTCTGCTTGTTATATCCGTGGCAAATGCAGTAAGTAAGATCCAGTTGAGTGAAATTCAGCTATACAGGATTGTTGCAGATCTAAAATGTTATTTGGTGACGTACATGGGCGCTGTGAATATTCCAGATTAGGAGGCGATCAGAGGCGATCATGCAAAATCCTCAGCGTACTAAAAATTCACTATATACACTTCCCCGCCTCAACCTTCTCTTCAATTCCCTGCACAGCACATTTGTTGAAGAACCCGACCTTCTTCATACCCGATGCGGTGCTGTTTATGCATTTCGGCGCGCAGCAGTGCCCACCGAATAGCGCTTAAGTGTGGTACGTGTATTCCTGTGAAAATGCTGAAAGTCTGATCACAGCAATCGAGTTATCAAACAAGCGTCTATCTGCCTCGGGCACGCATGTGACTGTTATCCAACTCTAACTTAGACAGAAGCTGTTCTACTTGATTGTGTGCCTTAATCACGGCTATGAGGCGCAGGCGCGGAACTGCTGTGGTCGATAAAGGACAGGTCTAAGCACCTAGTCAACTGATCCTCCATGGCCCCATTGATCACACGATCTGTCACTCTCGCCAACGGTACATATTTCATTTGTGAACAGACACAGAAGATATACCTCAGGCTCACCGACGGAAACGAAGGTACGTCACTGACTGCTTGGGCGTACAGCGCCATGACGCAGAGCGCAGGCACTTGACCGTCGATAACCGTTCGGACCTTTCTTCGGTATACGCGGTCGCCGCAGCGGGCGCGAGCACGGGCGAGGAGAGGACGAGCATCGACGAGAGCGACGAGCGGCGCCCTGCTAAAGGGGAGCGGGCGGGCGGACGCGGGGAGCTGGGAGCTTCGGTGGACTGCGCGAGGCGTAGGCCGCGCCCAGAAGGCTCTGCTGCTCGTGGTCTGGATGCACATGCGCAAAGTGCACGACGATACTAGCTCTGTACGCTTTTGTGCTTTGAATTCGTGGCAGCCCGCGCAGCGATGCTAGTGCGCACGGAGTCTGAGCACTCGACGACTCGTGACTCAAGCGCTATTCGACTGATGTACAATGCTTGCGTGCAGGTGAGCCGTGTATTCCGGCCAATTTCTGCATCACTGACGATCTTGCAGGAGATAAGGTAGGGCATCAGTACCCGCGCTCCTTGACAGCGCTTGCGATGCTTCTACTATTTCCTCCTCAAGTCCTCGACTCGGGTGCGATGACGATCTCAGACTCCAGACTCCAGTGCTGATAGGCGGGGCAACTCAATCGACCGTTTCTTGCCCCGCACCAGATATCGTTGCCGCGATGTTGGGATCCACGTCATGGGTGTCAGCAGACGCTGCAGCCGGATAACCTGGCAGTGGTGAGCGTGACCACGTTTGTACACTCGGTTGCTACAGTATACAGGCTTCAAGTGAATGCGGCTTATCGGGAAGACCCGATGGCGCAGTGGCAAGCGCGTCCATTTACGCTTGTGTGGGAAGGCTCCTGTTCGATTCGGGATCGGGTCGTGGTGTTGTCCGATCTTTTGCACAGCGAGGACCCGGTGGCGCAGTGGCAAGCGCGTCCATTAACTTGACAGGGAAGGCTCCTGTTCGATTCAGGACCGGGTCGTGCCATTGTCAGATTTTTTGACCCAATGTCCTTGTGCAAGGACCCGGTGGCGCAGTGGCAAGCGCGTCCCTTTATCTTGTCAGGGAAGGCTCCTGTTCGATTCAGGACTGGGTCGTCAATTTTCTCAGACCGCTCGGGCACAGCAAACGTCCTTTTTGTCGCATTGGGATGGCCCGATAGCGCAGTGGCAAGCGCGTCCACTAAAATTCATGGGAAGGCTCCTGTTCGATTCAGGATTGGGCCTGCTATTTACGCACATTTTTGCGCACCCGACGCGGATCTGTTTGACGCAGGATCGTGGAGCGCCGTTTTGGCTCATGGAGGACTCTCGGTGGCCCCAGATAGTTCATCTCTTCGTGATCGTCACTGACTTGGTGATCCCGCATGTAAACTCCTGAAAGTAATATACGATGCTTGACTCATGATCATGAGAGCTTTCCGATGAGGTAGCAACACAGAAGTTGCGATCAGCATTACAATTCGCGTGAATGGAGAATACAAGATAAGACAAGCCGAGACATCGATGCTACAAAAACAACGCAATAAACAGCCCTAATCCTCGCCGTGCAAGATGCGCTTCCCCGCCTCGACCTTCTCCTTCTTGTGCTCGATCTTCCCCATGACGATCTTCGCCTCGCCGCGCACCTTGTCGAAGAACCCGACCTTCTTCTTCCCCGACGCGGTGCTGTTCATGCTCGGCGCGCGCTGGTGCCCGCTCTTCTTCCCGATGCTCCCGAACGGCGACGTCGGGCGGCCCTTGCCCACGTCGGGCGTGGGGGTCGAGAACGTCGCGGCGGGGGTGGCGGGCGGCGTCATCGGGTGCAGCAGCGCGGGGTGGTACCCCGGGTCGCCCGCCTTGCGCGGCGTGCTCGGCGGCGTCGCCTTCTTCTCCGCCGCGGGTGCAGGCGCGGGTGTTTCTTGCGTCTTCTCCGCCTCTGGCGTCTTCTCAGCAGCCGGTGCGGGTGCCTCCTGAGTCTTCTCGGCGTCGGCATGCCCGCCTTTCAGCGCGAGCCCCTGCAGATCCGCAAGCATGTCAGCGCCGCTCTCTTCCCCGTCACCGCGCCCCGCCTCGCCGCCGTGCGCGCGCTGCGCCTCCGCGGGCGACGCAGGCGCCTTCTCCACGCCCGCGCCCTTCCCCGTGCGCGCGCTCGCGGAGTTCGCGTTCTCGGGCACGTCCCACGCGCCTTTGGCGCCGAGGGTGTCATCGCCGGATTTTTGGGCGGTGGTGTGCGTGGCAGTCGTGTTGGGCTCCTGTGCGGGCTCCTCAGGTGCAGGTGGCGCGCTGCCCATGGCGTAGCGGCGTGCCGTCAGCACCACCGTCGGGGACGCCACTGCAGCCTTGCCCGTGCCCTTATCCTGCTTCTGCGCAACGCGTCAGAGCTGTTCTGTCCACCCAACACCAAACGCAACACCAGCACGGAACACGAAGACACACGGCTGGGCAGAACCAAAAACGAAAGCAAGACGCTCACCTCATCACCCCCCTTCTCCTGGCTCGCAGCGAACGCAGCGACGCCCGCGCCGACGCCCGCCATTCCCAGCGCCTTCTCTCCCTCCTTCTTCTCTCCTTCTTTCTCCTTTCCATCTCCGTTCGCTTTCTCCTCCTTGGCAGCATCGCGGCTCTCGCGCGCCTCGGACGGGCCGACGACGTGGTACCCCTCCACAACCGGCGTCTGCGCCTCGTCCAGCAGCTGGTGTGCGGGCGCCGGCGCGAGCGTCGGTGCTGGTTTGGGCTCGGGCTCGGCGGCGGGGGCGGGTGCGAGCAGGACCGGTGGGGCGGGGGTGCTGGGGTCGACGAGGTCTGCAGCGGCGACGGCGTGCCCGCTGTCGGGGGCGGGGGCCTCCATCACTTTCGGTGCTGGCTGGGGTTCTTCGACGGGTGCGGGTGTGGGTTGGGGTTCTTCTTTCGCGGGTGCGGGCGGGGCGGGGGTGGCCTGGGCGGCGGCTGCGACGGGCTCCGGCACGCTGGCCAGGAGGTCGCGGCTCGCATCCACCGCCTCCTTCTCCTTCTCCTTCTCGTCCTTGACGCCAGTAGCAGGCACTGCAACAGAACGCCCATCAGCCTCCTCATCCTCATCATGGTCATTCTCGCGCGCATCCGTGAGCGCAAACGCAGAATAAAACAGCGTCAGCGCCGCCCCGAACCCCAGCCCGCGCAGGCGCCCCGCGAGCCCGCCGAACACGCCCACCCCGCTGCCCCCGCCGCCGCTGCCCGAGAGCGTGTATGCGGTGGCGGCAGCAGGCGCGAGGACGAGCGAGGAGAGGACGAGCATGGACGAGAGCGACGAGCGGCGCGCGCCGAGCGGCGGTCGCCGGGGCACGCGCGGGGAGGCGGTGGGCGGGGAGCGGGAGGCGGAGGCGGGGGTGCTCCCGCTCCAGCTGCCGACCGTCGCGCGCCGCCCGAGGCCGAGGGGGCTGTACGAGCCTGGCCGCGGCCAGCTCGTCTTGGAATTTGAAGAAGAATTTGAAGGGGGTTTTGAAGAAGAGGGGACTGGGGATGGGAGAGAAACGGGGAGGGTTGGTATATGCGTACGAATAGAGGGGGTAAAAGAGGATGGGAGGAAGGGAGGCTCACCTGCGTTTGAAGTGGTTGCGGGGGTCTTCTCGGTGGGAGGCGGGGAGGGCTTGCGCGAGCCGTCTAGATAGCAATCAGCACCCGAAAACAAGGCAAAATGAAGCGGATGAGCGAAGGAAAAAGGGGGGAAAGGACTGCGCGCCCACCGCTCCGGAGGAACCACAGCACGAGCACGATCGCCCACCCGACCGCGCGCCACGCCATACTGCGCTGCGCCCTTCTATCCACCGCAGCGACGACAGGGGGGAGGCTTTTAGACGGCTTCCACTCACACCAGTAGCTGCTCACCGCGCTCGCGACGCCGGCGGGGACGTACTTCGCCGCGGTGCTGCCGACGCCCTCGACGAGGTGCTCGACCTGGTCGAGCCGCTCCGGCGCGATGTACGCCGTCGCCGTGTCGTGCAGCGCGGCCTTGGCGCCGGCGGTGTTCTCCGGCTTGCCCTCGTTCGCTTGCGGGTAGATGGACGGGTTCTCGAAGGGGTAGGCGCCGGGGAGGGCGGGGCCGGGGGTGAGCAGCGCGGACGGGGGCGCGGGGGCGGGCGGGACGGGGGCGAGCGGCTCGAGCGCCTTCTGCGTGCCGTCGGCCCACTCGGTCGCGGGGGTCGGGAGGGGCGCGTCCAGTTGCGGTGCGGCGGACATGGTGGGGGGAGGGGATGGGTGGGGAGGAGGGGGGTGGGGCTTGTGTTATATGACGGTGACGTGAGGCACGCGAGCAGGACGTAATTTCTGATCGCTGAACCGATGTGCGAGGCGAGTGCTTGATCTGCCCCCCCTCCGCACCCCGGCCACGCGCACCCGGCCAGGCCGCGGCGTGGTGCTGTGCCCCGACGCTGTGGCTGACGTCGGCAGGGCAGCGTCGACGTCGGCTCTGCAACTCGGCGAGCGGGGGTAGGCGGGAGCTCTGCGGTGACGGCACTATCTATTCAATCGGAAGCACAATGCCATCGCGATATGGAAGGAATGGACAAAGGGCGGCCGCCGACAGGCACCCCCCGTTCTGCGCCGCCTTTGTTCTGCCCGTTCCAGCGTGGCGATGCACGACAAGATGGCATGCGAACAAGCATCGCATGCACAATGGGCGGGCCCGTCCGAGCACAAGGGCTTCAATTCCGAACGTCCGAATCGCGCCGTAATAGCTCAGCTTCTAGCCTCCCTGCGAGCGCATGGATCATACCCCAAAAAAGGAAGCCTGAGCGACCCAATCCTGAATCGAACAGGACTCTTCCAGTTATAGAGGGCTGGCGAGGCCCCTGCACCATCAGGTCTCGATCAAAATGTTTCATTCTTTAAAGTGTAAATTGACGACTATAGCTAATCGCAGAACTGCTTTCGACTAAGGACTATTGTATAACCATCGTAAGCCATCGTTCATCTGCGATCCGCGATCCGATCCCGAATCGAAGCAGGCCCGATGAACCTGTGCCATCGCCGAGTCGCCAACGACTCGCGCAGCGCAAAAATCCGCAGGTGCAACAGCCGGCCCGATCCTGAATCGATCGGGAGCCTTCCGCGAAATCATAGCACACGCACAGGAGCGTGTAAGAGGCCAAAAAGGCATACTGAGCCACCCGATCCTGAATCGAACAGGACTCTTCCGTTAAAGCAGGCTGGTAAGGCCCGTGAGATGGACGCGCTTGCCACTGCACCATCAGGTCTCGATCAAACTGTGTCATTCTCTAAAGGTAGTTCGACGACTGGTCACAAGTGCAGACTAGTATAACCATTGCAGGCCATCGCTCATCTGCGATCCGCGACCCGCCGATTGGAAGCAGGCCCAACGAGCCCGCGCCAACTCCACAGCGCAAAAAGCGGAAACAGCCGGCCCGATCCTGAGTCGAACAGGAGCAAGGCTTCCTGACGCTATCGAAGTGGACGCGCTTGCCACTGCGCCATCGGGCCATCCTAATACCAAAAGATCCACAGCACGCAGCACGACCCGATCCTGAGTCGAACAGGAGCCTTCCGACACATTGTAAATGGACGCGCTTGCCACTGCGCCATCGGGTCTGCACTGTGCCAATGCGGCTGTAGCACCAAAAGATCTGCGGCTCACGCGACCCGATCCTGAGTCGAACAGGAGCCTTCCCGAACTTGAGTAACTGGACGCGCTTGCCGCTGCGCCATCGGGTCTTCCGCACAACTCAAATAGGCGCTTTGCAGTACGCTATTGGATCCCTCGCGCAGAGTCTTCAGGCACACGCGCGACACCCTCGATCTGGACTCGAACGGCCAGGCGCGAGGAACCGCGAACTATCAGGCCATCTGACTCAGCGCTGTCGAGCGCCATCGCGGCATCGCGACATCGCAGCAATGATACCTGGCGCGGCAGGGGCGGGTCGAGGGAGGATTGATTGATTGCGTGACAGCACGGTCTACGTACATATCGCATCCGCCTCGGAGAAGACAGGGAAGCGCTGTCACTTCAAGGCACGGTGCCGTCCCCAGCCGGCCCTTCGCGTCTCCCGCACGAGCGCTTCGGCCGGTGCCCGCCTACACGAAGACATCCCATCACCCGACCAGCGCACGAGCGACTCCGAGCTCTGCGCGTACCTGGGACCTTGCGCAGCGCAGTCCTGCCAGGAAGTATGGGCAGGCGCGCCGTTGCCCAGGCCCAGCGATGCCAGCACAGCGGCGCTGCACCCAGGCATCGGCCTGACTTCCCAGTGCGTAGCCGTGGACAATAGCTCGAGCCGCGGTGCAGATGGGGCTGCAGTGGCCGATGTCGACGCGCACCAGCGGGAGATAGACGCGGAAGCGCTGGGTGCAGCGCGCCAGCTCGGCAGAATACGTGCTCAGCGGCGCCGTCTATTGACAGTATGAATGGGCGAATAGGACGACCGACCAACGCAGAGAAGCGCCTGCGCCTCTGCGCAGCGTAAATTGGGTCGTGCAGGCCGTCTCGAGTGCCTTGACCTTGCCTTCACATGTGATTCCGAAGAACGCAGTTTCAAGCAAGCCGCGCGTGGCCCACGCGCGATTGGGTTGGCAGCAGGCGAGCTCGGGGTGGCGATCCGGCGGGATCTGTAGTTTCGGATGCTGGATGAGGTAGCAGGCCAATATGCGGTGATGCGAGGCGCGAATTGGAGTCGGGGCCTGAATATCTGCGTTAGATGTGCAGCGGAGCAGAGGTAGCGTGGAGTGCGATGACTTCCGGATCCATCTCCCTCGAAAAGGGAGGTCTGCAATCCCGTTAATATTGCGAATTATCGCAATGTGCGAGATTTCGCGTCCCGCGCTTCGTGTGCGGCATGTTTCACGGAGCGATCCGCGAACGGCGAACTTTGATGCAAATTGCGGATGGCAGTGCAGTAGCTAGCGGCACGCGATATTTGGGAAAGGGCGCAACGAGGTTGGCGCGAGGGGGTGAGGTCGTGGTGACTAATTGGGCCCGTGAAATGGCCCAAGTAAACAGAGTCCACGCTGAGAAAGGACGAGAGTTGTGGGAGGGTCGTTTGCCTGAAATGGGGTTGCCATAGGTGTCTGCGTGAACGCAGAATTTAAAGCGAGTCGATGTTTGATGATTGAGCGTGAGCGATTACAGACTATCAAGTGCCGGGCCGACCGCGTCCCTTCAGCGTTGCCCACTGACACAGGGACTCGCGAATGTAGTTATAAAGATCTTAGGGGTAGTGCTATCGCCTGTGAGTTGTCCGAGTAGGTGTCCAAGTAGCAAGACAGGGAGAAGAAGAAAAAAACAGCTTCCAAAATGGTCTCAGAGAAGGTGCGACAGATATAGACGCCCAGAGCACTGGAGAATTTCGGATAATCTCGTAGGCCATGACGTCAGCGAAGAATGGGAAATTAGTGAGCTGATCACGCAAAGCGGGCCTCGCTTCTGCGATGTCGTCGAGAGGCGCCAATGGCAACTCAGAGTCGGCCAGAATCGGACGACCACCGTGACGGTACACCTGACATCATTGTCGTTCGGGGAGGTCGGCCCAGACAGAGCAATTGCGCATGTCTCCCCATGTCTCCGAGTCATGGGCTCGCGGCCGCGAGACTCGATCGTGTGTTGATTAGCAAGATATCAGCTGGCTGCTGCCGATCGCAGCTGCGGTCCGCAGAGTCGGGTAGAAATGTCAGGAAAGAGCGCCTTCCGCGTGCAAGGGCGGCATGCAGGCGTTGTTATCAAGCGATGATCTCACCTTTTTGCAGAGGACGGCCCGCCAATCAGGCAGGAGCAGGCGCCGGGCGGAACGCCACCAAGTCACTGATCCGCGCTCGCGAGTTTTGGCGCTCGCACAGCTATACCTTTCATCCGCCTTTTTAACAGTTTTCCAACAACCATCTAAGTGGTCTCTCCGCGAGTGCTGGGACTTGCTGTGCAAAGGAGTATCGATGAGCAGGCGAATAGAGATTCCGGATTCGGCAGCTCGGAGCTTGGAATCGCCCTGTCGATATCTTTTCGTATAAAGCCAGCCCGAGGGGAATGAATGAAGGCATGTCCGTTCTTGCTTCAGTTTACCCCTACACTCTGCGCCTTCATTTCACATGCTGGTTTAGACGTGATGACACTGAAGAGACGTTGATTTAGCAGCAAGAGAGCTCCGATAGCAGGTAGGCAAAGAGCAAGGTAACAAAGAGATGACATGGCAGTCTAAGGGAGGAAGTAGGGTATTGAAAAAGTCCTTTCAAAACAAACCAAGCAAGTGGGGGGCTGTGCACAAGGGTAAAGCAGAGTCAAGAAGGATGCGGGTCCTCCTGACTGAAGAGGTTTGCGATTTGTGTCTGCAGATCGCAGATTTGTTCAGTCAATGCGCCAGATATGCGATTTTGATACTACTCCCCTAGACACTACACGGCAGATGCAATAATAATTGGATACGCGGGATGTCGCATCCCGCGCTCTACCACGACCATAAGACTGCTCTGCCCTGCCTGAAGCTTCGCAACGAGGTCGCTGAGGCACTTCCTTCTCTCCCGAGTCGATCCTTGCGTGGCAAGGATCAGCGCCACGGTCTCGTTGTACTATCACTGACATAGTGTTTCAAAATCCGTAAAACTATTTTCATAGCTACAACATTACTCCATATTTTCCCTTGATTCTTTTTTTATCTGATAGCGTAGGATCTGCTCTATAAGAGGAATTTTTGATTAGGAGATAATTTGAAGTGGTTGCAGTGTCGGAACGAAGCCGTCGAAAAGAGTGCCAAAACCATAGTGTTTCAAAAGATTGTCACACATCAGTCCCAATACCAATTCAGACTCCGCTTCGGCAGCTCAGCAGTCTCAGTCTCAGTGGACGCGGAGGTCGAGTGTAGGATATGTACTGAAGTAGTATTGACGGATACTGATACTTGATGAAGCTATGTATGGTACGGAGGACTATGTGGAAATGTATTGAAAGGGCCAGTGAAGTGAGTATTATGGTACAGATGAGGTTGGTGGGCAGCCGATAGTCTACAACCCTCCTGGATGATGGCTTCGAGCCTTACATTGTCTTCACGTTTGCGGAGTGCTTTAGCCCAAACACGGGGCATAAACAAGAAGGAGGAAAATGCTGATCCAAAGTGCGACGCGACTTGCGGCCTGGACTGTTGATTGGTCGGAGTTTCAATTTTTATCACACTCTGTCACGTTCATCTGCGCTCTTGCTTCGGCACTCTCGCCCCGCACCTGTAGTCAGCATATCTCTCTCGGATAGCTTTCCATGTATCTATTTTAGTGTCTAATATACCATTATAAAAGATCCCTTCCAGTATCATTGACTCTGCAAGAAATCCGAAGGCGGACGATCTCAATTTCTCGTCGCTGAGCAGGATCAGCCATATTCATGATTTTTCTAGCTCGCCCGATTATTGCTCCTTGCTCTTGTAATTAATTTACAGTATGCACACACGGGTATAGAAAAATATGCCGGCAAGGCGAGAGAGATAAGAAGACAGACGATGGAGAAATAAATCATTTTTACCAGTTTTGAAACTCTGTGTCGTTTTGAAACCCGGTGTCAATGATAGTAGAAGTTCTGATGCGCTTCGAATACTCAACGGCGCGCGTTTGGGCAAAATAATTATACACGACTTGAGTATGGTACAGGATTAATGTGCAATAACCTCTTGTCAGTGCGTAGGTACATTGCACTACACACCCTTTCCGATGCTGCCACTGCGTCGACTTTAAGTAGTTTTATTGCGCCGCTGGCAACATAACCAACCTAACCAGGAGGGCACCTCGCGTCTTACAGCTAGATATGAAAGATATAGCCCCGCCACGGTCAGTAGGATGCCGACAACACTGGCGCCGATCTCTATCTTGTCGGCTTCGCTGAGTCCACTACCCGAGTTCGCCCCAGCTGTAGCACTGGGTAGGGCAGTAGAAGACACGGAGGTTGTTTGCGTGGACGATGTTGACGTGCTGATTGCGGTTAGAATCCAGATAGAACCGCTTAGTCCACTGTCAAGGCCGTAACATATCACCTGATTCTCGATAAGCTCAGACAAAGTGTCTCAGCATTTGCCTTACAGAGTTGTTATCATTTGAATAGCCATCGTCAACATTCCATGCCAGACCAAAAGTCGAGTCAGGCGAGTATCTAAACAGACCGCAACTCAGCTTAGGACCAATATTGCACCGATTTAGTCACTCACATGTACGCGCCTACACTCTCTTCTTCTGCATACCAATTGAATGGGGTATGACTTCCGTAGACCATCCCATTACTGGGGCTCAAAAACGAGACGAAACTAGAGTGTTGAACGTTTTCGACTGTGAACGTTCCGGCAGCTGCATCGCCAAGGATCTGCCACTGTGCGCTAATTGAGACGCAAGGAGTAGGGCAAATAGTAGTAATTGACCAATTACCTGTTGCTCTGCATCGTTGGCGTTATATTTCCAAGTTGTCACTGTCGTGCCTTCGTTCCCATCGGTGAGGGTGAGACATGTCCTCTGGATCTGCGCACAAATAAAATATGTGCCATTGGCGAGAGAGGTAGAGCGAGTGCTGAATGTGGGCATGGAAAGCATTAGTCGACAAACTCCTTAAGCATGATCTTTATCGATCACCTTGCTGTATTTCCACGCTGGTGCCGCAAGGCCTCGACACACATCTAGAACAGACAGGACGGTATCTGTGCCGCTCTGTGCGCCACAGGGATAGATGTCTATTTTTGCCAACTGTTCCTATACTTGTAGTATCTACCTACTTATTGCAATCAGACATTGAGCCCCGACTGCATTGAATGTCCGTAGGACTACACGTACCACATGTACAGCAGCTTGAGCCGAAGGCAGAAGTGTCGATGTTGGCAAGCGCATTCTGGCGATAATATAATTTCCAGCAGCGCCTATGGGCGCCATTTCACTGTGTGTATGAGCACCAGATTGAGTTCCGTCCGTTATCTCCGCGTCTGATGCAGAATGTGCGATCCAGCACAGCGAAAGCATGTTGTACGAATGAGTAATGTGGCGGCGGGCGCATGTCGGCGCTGTGAATGTTCCGGATTAGTAGATGCACCAGCACAGCAAACAAGGCCGCAAAAAGGCAATCTGCAACCCAATCTTGTGCCGAGCATGCAGAAGTCTACGTACGCGCACTTCACAACACATATCTTGGGGAGCTTCGCCGAGCGCAGCCTGCCATGAAGCACAACCATTGAACGCCAGTCCAAAAGAGCCACGGCTGACCCGATCCTGAGTCGAACAGGAGCCTTCCTTCATAGAGATGGACGCGCTTGCCACTGCGCCATCGAGTCTTCTCGACAAGCATGCATGTGAGGCTATACACTGCTTGCCGATAACCAATCGGCAGACCCCGCGCCAGTCCAAAAGATCCTCCCAAAGCACTATAGCACCAAGTCATCCCGAAGAGCCGGCCAAGCGGGGCACAGTTTGCAACGCCGTCGAGGGGCTGCTGCTTAGCGTCGTACGGGTCGAACACCGAGACGAATCCGAGGATATCTATCGTTTTATACCTGCAAATGAGATGTCAATTCAGTCCATTCTCATCTCGTGGTGTGTCGGTGCTGCTTACCAGAACGTTAGACGATGCATGCGACCGTATCTCTATTATATACACCAGATGCCCCTGCCCGGCTCCATCACGGATAAGGCCATTCTGTCTCGCTTGTAATTCGTAGTGAAATCGTCGATGCGCTTCCTGTCCGCCTGGGTCGATTGGTGAGTGGCGATGTCGAGTTCTACAGTCTCTCGGTAGAGACTCCGGTGTGCTTCCAGCTCTAGAATGGCTCGCGCTACCACAGGGTCGACTTGATTTGACGAAGATGTCGTGCCACCTGCCGAGTCAACAAGCGTCGCCGTGCTCCCGGAGGCTACTCGATTCCTCTCGGTTATTGTGGAAGTAGCTGTTATGATCAACGACCGAACAGGTCAGTAGGTGAATATGACTGAAACGAGTTCTACATTACCGTTCACTGGGAGTGCTAAACGCCATTTACCACTCGGCGAGTAGCAAAAATGCGATCTAAAAACCTATGATCACCGCAAGAAGGCTACAGTATATACACATAGCGCCAATGACGTTTCCTCGTGATTCCGGGTCGACATAGGAGTTCAGGAAAGAGTGCAATATGCCAGAATCAAGTCAGGGGCGAAATATGTTGTAGTAATTGATTATGAGTGGGCGCTAAAACGCTAATAGGTAAACAGTTTACCTGTGCATCGTAACACATCGGAACACCCTTCTGGGTTTCCAGTGGAGGATGTCTGAACGGGATCTGCCGAATACCGTGCCGCACAAAAAACATGATGCAAATATTCGGCCCGATCACGAATCAAACAGGAGCCTTCCGCAAAGATGGAGTACTATTCTGTACTATTGGGGTGGACGTGTTTGCCACTGCGCCATCGGGCCATCCTAATATAGCTGCAAAATGACCTGAAGAGGACACGTTGCGCCACCAAAAGATTCACATCCACGGCCCGATCCTGAATTGAACAGGAGCCTTCCTTCACGGAGATGGACGCGCTTGCCACTACGCCAACGGGTCTTCTCGATAAACATGCATTAGCAAGCTGTATATTGTAAACCCTGACCTTTGCTAATCTGTATTCACATGACGCGATCTAGAACAGAAGTTTCCGCGATGCAGATGCGCTTGCTACTGCATGTCATGTCATGCCATTGCACAAAAGAGCAGTTCGAATGTCGAAATCGATGCTGCGACCCGAAACCTGATCGCAACGTCGCAGCAATGATATCGGGTAGGGGGCAGGGAGCGCATCGATTGAGCTGCCCCGCTGCTGACGGCACCGGGTCTGGGATTACATCGCGTTGAGTCGGAGACGAGACGCGGAAGGGCCGTCAAGGAGTGCGTGCATAATTTTGTCTTATCTCCCGCAAGACCGCTGATATGGTGCAGATTTGGCAGAAGGCGCGCCTCATCTGTTATGCGGAGACATCAGCGCGTTCGGACGAACAGCACACATCCCATGCCGGAGACCCTCGCCGTGAAGAAAATGAGCACAATGCGCGTGCTAGATTGAGCAGCGAGGTGGCTCGGCGTCAGGAGGCCGTCCTGCAGGATCTGCGGTTTCACATGCTGGCTGTGTTGGTATGCTTCGTAGGTAGGGGACGTGAGGGGCAATCGTATGCCTATGATGCGGGAGCTTTGATGTCGATACCTTTGTCTGGGGCAGCGCAGTATTAGTCGCAAGCTAGAAAGGAACAACCAAACAGCACTCAATAGCCATACTTTGCTTCAGCGGCCAAAGCAGAAGCAGTTTCAAGTGCGAAACAGCGAGAGCTAAACTTGACAGATGGCATCTCGCACGAAGGGAATACGCGTCACTTCAATTGCAATGGTGCAGCTAGCGGCAGGAGTTATCGAAGGGAAGGCGCATGTAGGTTGTGGCGCGAGACACTGAGGGTGTGGCAATATGATGATAATTGGACCCGTGAAATTTCAAATGGGTCGAGCAAACAGAGTCCACGCGGAGGAAGACGAGAGTTGCGGGCGGGTTTTTTTGCTTGAGAAAGATGCAAAATTTGCACCAAGAGCATGCCTAATGAGTGGGGATGGGCGGTTGTAGGCCCATCAAATGCCGGCCTGTTCCATCCTTTTTCAGTTGCGCGCTGGCGCAGTGGCTCCCGGAGCCCTCCAGCATCTCGGATAATCTCGTAGGGCATGATGTAGGTGAGAAAATAGTAGAGCTGATCAGTCAAATCGAACGTTCAAACTTCGTTCCTACGATACCGCCGATAGGCATCAATATTGATGACAGTGCGCACAGTCGGCCAGATTTGGAAGACCGGCGTGACGCTGGCCACGAGTAAGTCCAGAGCGACATCGATTTCTGACGACATTGTGGTTCGGGGCGGTCGGCACAGGGATGTCTCGTGAGCTCATGGCCGTGAGGTCGTATTTCGATTACAAGATATCAGCTGGCTGCTGTCGATCGCCTCTCCGGTCCGCAAAGTCGGGTACATCTGTCAATAAAGAGAGCCCTTCGCAAGGACAACATGTAAGTAAGAGTCGTTATCAAGTCATGATCTCACCGTTTTTGCAGAGGATGTCCCGCCAATCAGGAGCAGGCGCCGACCGGAACGCCACCAAGTCACTGATCCGTACTCGCGACTTTTGGCGCTCTGTACAGCAATACTTGTCATCCGCCTTTTAACAGTTTTTCAACAACTTTTCAAGTGGTCTCTCCGCCAGTGCTAGGACTTGCTGTGAGAAGAAGTATCGATGAGCAGGCGAATAGAGATCCCGCGTTCGGCTACTCGGAGCTTGGAATCGCCCTGTCGATATCTCGTATAAAGCCTGCCCACCGAGATTGAAATGAAGGCATTGTGCGTTCTTGCTTCAATCTACCCCTACACTCTGCGTCCTCATTTCACATACTAATTTAGCGTGATGACACTGAACAGATGCTAATTTATCAGCAGCAGGTGGGCAAAGAAAGTAGCCGAGCTTCGACAGCAGGTGGGCAAAGAGCAAGGTAACGAAGAGATGACATGAGAGGGTCAAACCGAACCAAGAAAGCGGGTGGTTGCTCACAAGTACAAAGCAGCCTCGAGAAGGATGCGGGCCTTCCTGACTGAAGAGGTTTGCGATTTGTGCTTGCAGATCGCAAATTTGTTCAGTCTATGTATGCGCAAGATATGTGATTTTGATACTGCTCACCAAGACATTAATCGACAGATGCGTTAACGACTGGATACGCAGGATGTTACCGCCCGCGCTCTACCACGGCCATGAGTCCGTTCTGCCTGGCATGAAACTCTGTGGCGAGGTCGCTGAGGAACTTCTTTCTCCCCGAGTCGATCCTTGCGTGGCAAGGATCGGTTCCGCGGTCTCATTGTAGAGGTCCAAATGTACTCCGAGGTGCAACCTGCCGCAGCACGGCCCGCGCTACCATAGAGTCGACCTGATTCGACGAAGGTGTCGCGAGGCCGTGACCTGCGGCGCGGTCAACAAGCGCGGCTTGCTCCCGCAAGCGGTTCAATTCCTCCTCTGGGTTAGGTTTAAGACACTAACTTGGCAGTACCTGATCTGTTCAATGGCGTTATAAGAAGTAGGGGGCCACGAATAAAGCGTGTTGTGCCTTACCGCCCACTGGCCAAGTTGCCAATATCGGAAAGCCGGTCCAGGGGACTGCGACCGCCACTAGGAGACCGTGCAAGTACAGCGCGGATAACGTTCCTGGTGATGTTGCGCCGGCAAAAGGGCTGAATGAACAAGAAAGTCGTGAAGGGATGTCAGACAAAGCAGATGGAGGAAGTCAGTCAGTGGGCGCTAAATGGTAAACGGTAAAATAGCCGTTGACAGAACGCTTATGATAATCGTGCCGATACATATACACTGGTCTTCAGCACCCACCGCCGTCGTCTTGACGGTCTCTCACTGCCAGTGACTATCGGCGCTCATGAGCTCATTTGGCGGAGCGCGTGTTGGTCATCAAAAAAGTAATATATTTCGTACGGTAGTACAAGATAAATCTGCTATAACTCCTATCACTGTGCAGGTACATTGCTATATGCACCTTTGCTGATGCTGCTACGCCGACGTGGAGCACTTTTGTTGCGCCGCTGGCAACATAGCCAACCTAACCAGGAAGGCACCTCGTGTTTTACAGCCAGATATGCCAGATATAGCCCCGCTATGGCCAGTAGAATGCCGATAGCACTGGCACCGATCTCTATCTCGTCGGCTTCGCTAAGACCACTACCCGAGTTCGCCCCAGCTGTAGAACTCGGTTTGGCAGAAGAAGACGTAGATGTTGTTTGCGTGGAGGATGTTGACGTGCTGATTGTGGTTAAAATCCAGATAGAGTTATCTCGTGCACTGTCAAGGTCGTAGCATAACACCTGATCCTCGATAAGTTCACACAAAGTATCCGCACAGGACTTGACTTACAGTGTTGTTATCATTTGAATAGCCATCGTCAACATTCCAGGCAAGACCAAAGGTCGAGTCAGGTGAGAATCTGAAATGAATCACTCCTGAGCTTGTGCCCAATACCGAATCGGTTTAGTTACTCACAAGTACGCGCCTGCACTCTCCTCTTCTACATACCAAGTGAATGGGACGTGACTTGCATAGACTATCCAATTACTGGGGCTCAAAAACGATATAAAATTCGAGTGCTGAACGTTTTCGACTGTGAATGTTCCAGCAACCGGATCGCCAACGATCTGCCACTGTGAGCTAATTTAGACACAAGAAGTGGAGCGACGGGTTATCGAGAATCAACTACCTGTTGCTCTGTATCGTTGGCACTATATTTCCAAGTCGTCAGCGTCGTGCCTTCGTTTCCGTCGGTGAGGGTAAGACATGTCCTCTGGGTCTGTGCACAAATGTAATATGTGCCGTTGGCAAGAGAGACAGCGCGAGTGCTGAATGTGGGCATAGATAGAATCAGTAGACAAGGTCCTTGAACATAATCTTTATCGATCACCTTGCTGTATTTCCACGCCGATGCCTCAAGGCCGAGGCACACATCTTCTGGAACAGACAGGACGGTGTCTGTGCCGCTCTGTGCGCCACAGGGATAGACGCCCATTTGACTTTCACTGGTCCCTATCTTTGTAGTATCTACCCGATTGTTGTAACCAGATATTTAGCCCAGAATTTCCGTAGGACCATACGCACCCCATGTACAGCAGCTTGAGTCGAAAGCAGCAGTGTTATAATGGCGAGCGTGTTCTGGCCAATATCCTAGCAACTATGGGCGCTAGTTGGCTGGCGCCAGATTAACTTCCGCCCGTGATCTCCGCGTCTGAAGTAGACGAGGTGGCGGCGAGGTGGCACCTAGTACTTAAGGACAATGGATCCAGAGTTCTGACTGTTTCATGTCGGTATATACTGGAAACGTGAGAGTAGATTGCATGCCTGTGTTAGTGCCAATGAATGCTCCGACGTTGAGACGTTGCATGTGGTAGCATGGTGTCGAAGAGAAGCCAAGAACGCGAAGCAAACGAGGGTCTGGCCTTCTATTTTCACCTATGTCAACGACTCAGTCAGTATAAGGCAGAAGTGCGGAGAATCAGGCTCACTTAGCAGCACTGCAGCATTTTGAATCACCTGGTATGTCCGCAAGGTAAGATTTGGCATCATTACTGGCGCGAAGTTGACGCATAAGGACACAGCAGATTTCGTAACTGCGTTTCGCAGCGTATGCGCATCCCGTGCGGACTTTCAAACTCACTAACCGGCTTCTTCCGTACACATGCTCTATCGAGATCACGTCAGTATTCATTGTTGAATCCGACACGACGGTAATATGTTGTTTGAGCCACCTGGGACGATATCGACATAGGTTGAGCCAGTCGTAGAGTCCGATCGTGACGGCAGCTTTGCGCAGCGAGATTTGGGCGAGATCGCATATTGACCGGAAAGATATCAGCTGGCTTCTTCCAATCACAGCTTCGGTCCGCAAAATTGGGCATATCTGTCAAGAAAGAAAGCCAACAAGCACAACGTCTAAGAGACGTTATCAAGAGATGATCTCATCTTTCCGCCAAAGAAAACACTCCGGACTGTGACGC